GAAAAAGAATCGGAAGGAGGCGCCGTGCTCTTGACGAGCGCATAAAGAGGATGGAAAGAGAGATCCTTCGCCTGGAATCTGAACCGCGTGAATGGGAGAGGAACGGTTTAGACATCGTGGCCATCATTCCTACTTGCCTCCGAAGATTCCTCCGCATGCTGGATAAATTTTTTCATCTATCCTTGGCAACCGGCGACGGATCCTCTTTTATTTCATGTTCTTCAGAACTTCGAAGATTTCCAATGTTAAGAACTGAAGAAAATGAAGGATCGGAGGAGAAATCTATTGATCCTTCTTCCGGTCTCCTCGATTTATTTTCCAACGAGGGACTTTCTTCAGAAAGTTGTTCGGGATCGCCCACCTCGCTGGAATCGTTATCAGGCGAAGACTTCTGATCGAACAAGTCCCTTGATTTATTTTTTGTTTGTAACAGACTATTGGGCTAGAAACCCAGCAATACTAATTATATTTCCCTTTTCGCCTTAAATTTGCCGATTTACTCAAATCTTATTTAATGCGTTATATCTAGGAAATATAATTAGTAATTAACTCGCTTACATTTCCCACGAAGATGGTAATTTCAGATTTTTGGAAATCGTCAATTGATCCTCTTAAATGTGATTGAGTATATTTCGAATATAAAGTAGGTGCAGCTCATTATTGAATTTAATCAACAATAATCCTACAAAAATGTTCAAGGAAGGTAATTCCTCAGAGAATCCCTCCGACTCGTTTAAAAAGATAAGTGACGATCTTCCGGAAACGTCAGACATAGAGCTTGTAAAAACGGAAGCAAATGGCGAACCAGAAGAGTCACGCCCATTAGGGTGGGGAACCAGCATTCAGGTCCCAAATGTGTTAATCGAGAGATTATCGGCTCAAGATCGTGTCAAGGCTAAAGAGTTTATTAACAAGGTATTGTTAAACCTAGTAACCTGACTACTTTCGTTGTTTGCTAAACGAAGCGTTTTTGTTTTCTCAGCTTATTACTCAGCATAAACAGCTCGAAGATGAGAAAAAAGAGATTAGAAGAAAAAGAATGGAACTAGAGAAGCGTCGCCTCGATATTGCTCGCGAGCTTCATCGCCTCGAAGCCCATTCCTCTGATTGGATCGAGATAGGCCTACAAGAGTACGGAAACATGTCAGGTTGTATCCTAAGCATCGTTGACCTCGCAGGCCAAGGAGTAGAGCTATTCCGTAATCCAAGACCCTTCTAGATCTGGTTTTTGCTTTAGGTAAAAATATTTCTTCATACATTGTTCGCAACGTATTTTTATATTTATGCTCGAATATTGAATTTATAAAAACAAGACTCCATGACTGAAATAATATTTTTAATTTTATATTAAAGCTGGACTCGTGTTTAGCGAGCTGCCTACGTATCCAAAATAGGATCAAGCCAAATCGTAGTTCGATTGTGTTTGCTTTAGCAATAGAACTTTTTCAAGTTGATGATGTTCCAAGGCCTTTGAACGGGGTTTCCGTCAAGGTCTTGTAAACGGTAAACACCATTTCGGATCTTTTCTGTGATTTGATAAGGGCTTCCCAGTTAATACCGAGTTCCAGCTCCTTATTCTTTTGTGTTATCGAACACTCGTCTTAAAACAAAGTCTCCTACATTTAAAGGTCTGTTTTTCAATTTTGAGTTATAGTATCGAGCGGTCAATTGTTGATAGTTTTGAAGTCGAATAAGAGATTGATCTCGCCTTTCATCGATTGTATCAAGAACGTCTTCTAATAATTTAGAATTTAGTCCTTCGTTAAGTGGAGCTTCGCTCCGGCGCAAACCAGGAACATTCAGCTCGGCTGGGACTACTGCTTCCATCCCATATACTAATGAGAATGGAGTTTCTCCTATTGCTCGTCTCAGGGTTGTTCGATATGCCCATAACACAGGTTGCAGCTCGTCATACCAACCACCTTTCCGAGCATTCAAACGCTTTTTAAGATTGCTGAGAATGGTTTTATTGGAAGCTTCCGCTTGCCCATTTTCTTGAGGATACCTAGGCGTTGAATAGCTAAGTTTTATTCCCCAAGAGGAACAAAAATCTTCAAATTCATTTGAAATGAACTGTGGACCATTGTCCGTTACTATTTCGTAAGGAACTCCATGGCGACAAATAATGTGTTTCCACAAGAATGTCTTTACCACAGAATCTTGTATACTTACGTAAGCTTCAGCTTCGATCCATTTGGAAAAATAATCTGTTAGAACTAATAAGTATTGGACGCTTCGCGTTGAGCGATGCATCAGACCAACTATATCCATTGACCACCTCATGAAAGGGTATGGAGCGGATATAGATGATAAAATTTCAGATGGCTGGTGAATAAGAGGAGCGTGCATCTGACACTTTTTATACCATTTGGCGTAATCGATGCAGTCAGAAATCATAGTTGGCCAGAAATATCCTAACCGTTTGATTTTGAAAGCCATTGCTCGTCCCGAAGAATGACTACCACAAAGCCCTTCGTGGACCTCGCTTGTTAGTATTTCAACTTCGGGTCCGAAAATACATAGAAGATAAGGATCACTGACGTCTCGCTTGTACAATGACTCTTTAATTATACAATACTTAGCGCTGATGATTTTTAATTTGCGAGCTTGCCATTTGTTCGATGGTAGTTCTCCATTAAGAATGAAATTTTTGATGGGTACCCTCTAGTCAGCCCCCCAATCGTTAGCGGAAGTATTATCCTTGAATATAAACTTCCTTGGTTCGGGTTCGGAAGGAATATCAGGATCTTCGATTGTTTCCCGAACTTCTTCATCACCTGGAGGTGTCTGTTCAGTTCGAGACGGTTCTTTAGCGGGAACCTCTTGATCCTTTAATTTTCTTCTTGGCTTTCTTTTAGGAAGTTCTAGTGGTGAAGTAAGTTCATCATCTTGAGATTTTACTCGTGATCTGGTGACGACAAATGAACTATTTTCATTTCCGGAACTTAATTTTGGAGTTTCGATATGCTCGGCGTCCAAAATGTTATCGTTTTATGTTTTTTCAACCGAAATACTTCGCGAAGAAATAAATTCAACTGGGATAACTCGTTTGAGCTCGGAATCTGAGGTAGAAGCTAGGGCAGCTAAAGCGTCTACCGAAGTGTTTTCTCCTCGAGCTATTCGAACTAATTCGAACTCTTTGAATTTTCCGGCTAATTTTTTGACAGCCGAAAGATAGGCTTCCATTCGAGGAGCCTTAGCTTCGTAATCTCCAGCAAACTGGTTTACAACTAGGTGAGAATCACAATGGGCTATTATTTGTTCTGCTCCAATTGCAAGAGCAAGCCGAAGTCCTTCTAAGAGAGCTTCGTATTCCGCTTCGTTGTTCGAAGCTGGGAACATTAGTCGAAATGATTGCTCGATTATTTCCTTTGTCAGAGTTTCGAGCCTAATACCGATTCCGGATCCTTGTTTAGAAGAAGACCCATCTACATGTAATTTCCATGTAGAGTCTGTTTCGATGAAGGTTCCATCATCTAATGGTAGTTCGGTTAGAAAATCAGCCAGAACTTGTGCTTTTGCGCTAGATCAGCTTTTGTATTCTATATCGTACTCACTGAGTTCGATTGCCCATTTCGCCAATCTACCGGACTGACTTGGTCCGTGAAGAATCGAGCGAAGCGGATGAGAAGTTAAAACTTCTATCTGATGAGATTGGAAATAAGGTCTGAGTTTCCTAGCGGATACGACCACTGCTAAAGCTAATTTTTCCATCATTGTATATCTCGTTTCCGGACTGGTAAGAGATTTACTTATGTAAAAAATCGGCTTTTGATCACCTCGATCTTCTCGAACTAGAACCCCACTTATAGAATGATTAGAAACCGATATGTAAAGATAAAGTTTCTCATCTGACTCAGGTTTTGAGAGAACCGGTGGTGTTGTCAAATAAGTTTTGAGTTGATCGAAAGCTGCTTCGCATTGATCATCCCACCGAAATTTTTTGTTCCCTTTTAAAATCTGATAAAAAGGGAGACATTTATCGGTAAATTGCGAGATGAAACGATTCAACGCAGCAATTCTGCCCGTCAATCGCTGAACCTCTTTAATGTTTTTGGTGAATGAATTGTGAGGAAATCGTTAATCTGATTAGGATTAGCTTCTATTCCTCTTTCCGTGACTATGTAGCCTAGGAATTCTCCGGAAGGCACACCAAAAGAACATTTAGCAGGATTAAATTTCATTCCGAATTCATTCAGAATTTTGAAACATTGCTCAAGATGTGTGATGTGCTCGGATTTCTTAAGAGATTTTACGAGCATATCATCGATATAAACTTCCATCGTTTTGCAAACATTTTGTTAACTAAACGTTGGTATGTTGCCCCGGCATTTTTTAGACCGAATGACATAACTTTATAACAGTAGATTCCTCTATCTGTTATGAAAGATGTTTCTCTTCATCTTCGGGATTCATCATGATCTGATTATATCCAGAAATGCATCCATGAATGTCAAGAGTTCATTTCCGGCTGTTGATTCTACGAGCCGATCTATATGAGGGAGAGGAAAACTGTCTTTTGGACATGCTTTGTTAATGTCAGTGAAATCGACACATACTCTCCACTTTCCATTTTTCTTTTTGACTACCACGGGGTTTGCTAACCAGTCCAGGTATTTTACTTCTCTAATCGAACCAATTTTCAAAAGCTTATCAACTTCGTCATTGACCGCTTGTGCTCGGTCAGGACCCAGTTTTCTTCTTTTTTGCTTTATTGGTTTAAAACTGGGATCGACATTTAAATCATGGGTAATGATACTTTTATCGATTCCAGACATATCTTTTGCCGACTAGGGAAAAGTATGTTTATTTTCTTTTAGAAATGTTACCAATTGATCTTCGATCTGGAAATTCGGAATCAATTTCAATTTTTGTGGTAACTTCATTCGAACTGAGACCACTTGGGTAACGCGAGGTGCTTTCTTGCTTAGCGCTTATCATTAATTGCTATTTAAGCTTTAAACGATGTCCCATGAGGTAGCAAGATCGCGACGTTTCCTGATCTCCTCGAATGCTTTCTTTCTTGTTTGTCTCTTCTTTCACTCTCGATACCTCTCAGTCTCGTTCCCTCTCAGTCGCAATCCCTCTAGATCTCGATCGTCAGTTTCACTGTCGATCTACAAACCCCTCTCAATCGTCCCATGCATCGATCCAAATCAAATTGGTGAGGTCGAAATTGAAATCAAATTTGGGGTTTCTTTGTGTTTATTTCATGTTGGTTTTGATCCGTTTCGGTTGTGTTGCTCTGTTGCAGGAAGATTTCAGTTAAGTGACTACTCAGTTCCCGTTTTCTCTTCTGAACTCGTCAATGGCGGCTTTGGTTCTTCTCAATCATGCTCAATCTCTCTCCGTCGGCTCACACGGTTTTAGATCCAATTTTATTTTGATTTTCGGACATGATTAATCTTGCTTATCACTTATCAGACTTGATATTGTAAGAACTCTTGTTGATTAGAAGTGATGACATGCCTTTTATATTCTTCGTGGAGTTGTAAGATGAGAAATTTCATGAGTACAATCACTTGTATCTTTTTGCTCATGTTTCTTTTTTGAATCTCTGATTTTGGTTTCTCATTGTGAAACAGGGTAATACATTCAACAATTCTCATTGCATCACAGACTCAAGGCTCAATACATTCAACAATCTTGGTGATTCTTCTTCTTTTCCTTGATTTCAGATTGAACTTGATGATACTTGCTTCAAAGTTTGTATTGTCTCATGGAAATTACACAAAAAAAAAAAAAAAAAAAGAAGAACTTGTGGCTTTACTCAAGATTGTGAAGCTTTAGATTCTTGATTCAATGACTACTTCCTTTGGATATTTAGCTTTAGTGATTGAATTTGTGTTTTTTTCATTTGTTGCAGGTGAGATATTTCACTTCATGCAATTTACATTAGGAAATCTATCAAAAGGGTTTTGTTATTTTATTTTACTCTTGAGATTATAGTTGCTAAATCTGATGAGTAAAATTCTTATAGGGCCAAGCATGAACTGTTGTTACCTTTGGATGTTGGTTTTTGTTTTTCTTTGCAGGAGAGATGTGAGAATATAATCGACTATGTAAAAAGGCTTAGGCTTTTTTTTTTGTTAAAAAAAAGGCTTAGGCTTTGCATTAGATGGTTTCAAGAACTCGAGTTAGCTTACGTCTTTGAGCAAGAGATGGAGATTGATGACAAAGTGAATCAAACGAGAAAAAATCTTGTTCGTCTTAGACTTTTTAGGCTATTAACTCGATCTGCAACTTTTTAACTCAACCACATATAAACTTCTATGTCAGAACTCAGAAGACGAGTTTATGTTTCAATAATGTATTTTTATGGTTTTAATTTCATTGTATAAATCTCTGTCACATATGTACTCTTATCATCTATATACATATAATATTTCCGAAAATCTTCAAACAACAATCTTACATATATTAATTAATAACACACAAAACATAATTAAAACTACAAATAAAATAAATTTTAATTCATAATTATTCTGTAACATTCGATAGTTTCTTAATAATATACTATCAAATAATTTTAAAACACAAATAAAACCATGGAACACAAAATTAAAAAAAAACTAATATATATATATATATATATATATATATATATAATGATGCAGAACACAAAATTAAAATATATTTATACAAGTAACACATAAACCCTAAACCCTAAACCCTTAACCCTATACCCTATACCCTAAACCATTTAGGGTATAGAGTTCAATCTTGAAACACATTTCACTATATTTCAGTTATACTCTAATGTCTCATATGTTCATAATTTCTAAATAAAATTTAAGTGAAAAGTTTTTAATGTTTTTTTGCATTTTATTTTGGTAATTGGAAAATTGTGAAATGTGTTTCAAGATTGAACCATATACCCTAAACAGTTTAGGGTTTAGGGTTTAGAGTTCAATCTTGAAATATATTTCACTATTTTTCAATTAACAAATAAAATATAATAAAAATTATTTTGTAGTTACAATAACATACAATAAAAAAATATATAATATTAGAAATATACAAATTAATTATAAAAATTGGTTAGTGGTAACATATGTACTTTACATAAATTTATCAGTTTTTTCAAAATACTATTTACTTATATATTTATATTTTTAAATTAGTTTCAATCATTATTTATACTTAAAAATAAAATTCCCAATTTCAAATTCCTAAAACTTAAATTCCAAACATATATTAAAAAGTCTAAACCTTAAACTTTATACTCAATACATAAAAATTAAATAAAAAACAATAAAAATCAAATAAAAAACCAATTAAACGAAAGCCTTTTATTGGCTATCCCATAGAGACACGGATTGGACTTTTGCTTATCTTACACCGTTGATGAATTAAATCCAACGGCTTAAAGCTTCTCCTTCTATTCTTTTTCTTTTGGTTAAAAGTTCATTTACTTTCTCTTTTCTCTTCGTATCCTTCATCTCTTACATCCTTATGGGAAAATCAAACGATTTCTTCTCTGGCTCGAGGCAGAGGTGGCTCACGTTTGTTACTTGTATTGATTCCGAGCTGTTAGGGGACTGTGGCTCAAGGCGGAGTTCAATCGTGTATTTGGGTTTACGGGTCGGGTGAGCGTGCCGACGGCGAAAACAATTCTCCGGTTGTGTCGGTTAAGCTTATGGGGTTAGATCCAGTGTCTTAGATCTGCCTTTGGCGGGTTTACTTCTCTCACTTCTCTACATCTAACATTCTCTCCTCTTCCTCGTGATTTACACTGGAATATAATTCGTTCATATCAATCTTTGCTTCGAGTTGGATTATATGTTTGTTTGCTTCGAATTGAGTGCTGAGAATCCGAATGGTTTTCGCTAGATGTTAGGGTGAATGGTGATTTGGATTAATGGAGTGTGATTTGGATTTGTTTCTTTGGAATTCTTCGATTTCCCCTCTTTTGATCGTCTTCTGTTACCTAACATGTCTCGTTTGGGTCGGATTCTACCTCATGTACTGTCTGATTTCACCAAAAATCGGTCAGATAGAGTCACTTAGAGCATCCACATAGTTGATACTCATAGAGTATCATTAACAATTTTTTAGTATTAATTTTAATATTTGTTTATTGTTTGAGATTTTTTATGATACTGGTAATAAATCTGTTTCCAGTAGTGAGACCGGTATCGGTATCATTAATAAAAAAAAAATTATTTGCAAAATCAAAAATAAATATATAAAAATATGGGATTACAAAAGATAATATTACAATCTATAAAAACGTAGAATATACTTAAGCAAAAAAAACGTAAAAGTCAAAATAACATTAGACCGGTATCGGTATCTTAGGAAGACTTCTAACGAAGTGCAAGAGGTTACAATAATGGATCTAACTTTGCATTATTTCTTTATATTCTTGTTTCCTATACCTTACTCTCTCTCTTTTTTTTTTTTTTTTTTTTTCAGCTTTGATGAATTGCTAGAACTTAGCCAAAAGGGAGATAATTGACAATGAAGAGAAACAAATGGAATTAATATTCAATTTTTCTAGACTTTAATGGAATTTTTGATTTGAATTGTTTTGGATTTAAAGAATGCAGATAGCATATGTACTTTTACTTTTTAATTTTGTATTTTTACTTTCTAATATAATATTTTGTATGATGAATTCATATAAGATAATAAAATATGATATTTTGAATTAGTCAATTTATCGTAAAAACCTTATAAATTATAAATTAAATATAGTTAGAAATTAATAAAAGAAAATAATGTAAATAATTTGTATAAATACTGTATAAATACTAAATATCTACGTATTAGAATATTTTAAATATATATTTTACAAATAATTAAATATATTAATAGCAAATAATTATCGCTATTGTTTATTTAAATATTGCATATAAAAAAACGCTATGTTATCAAATATCTTAATAGCAGTTAGAAAAACCGCTATGTAAAGTGTCGGATCTATTATAACGGGCGCAGACATAGCGCTTTCTACACTGCTGTAATATCGTTAGATAGCGGTTTTCATATGCTATGGATACCCTCATTTCCTGTAGTGCTCAACATGCCTACGCATAAAGATGTTCTACCTAAAGATGCCCCATCTTCTAATCCTACTCAGCCTTCTCCTCCACCACAATCTGAAGAAATATCTGACAATAGTGAAACTGAGAAGGAAAATGATAAAGAAGAATCACAAGATGGAGAAGAAGCAACAGTAACTACTCAAGATCATGATGATAATCCTGACCAGAATGATGAACATTTTCAAGACTTCTCGGACAATTCTACTGATCAAGAAAGCAATGGGTCTGATGAATCTTATGACTCGGATGCAACTGATGATGTCCCGCATATGGATGTGAGGCTTGTATTCTCGGTAAACATTGTAAATCCGTGTTCCCCAAGTCTTGTACTATTTATGAAAAATGCTTTGATTTTATTCATTCGGATGTGTGGACTTCACCTTGTGCATCTCGAGAAAGCTCTAAATACTTTGTCACATTCATTGATGAAAAATCAAATTTTACTTGGTTAACATTAATTGCTCCCATCTAAAGATAGGGTTCTTGAAGCTTTTACAAATTTTCAAAACTATATGATTAACCATTATAATGCCAAGATTAAAATTTTGAGATCAGATAGTGGTGGAGAGTAGCACCACATCGACGGTAGATCGAGACACTAACGGAAATGTTGATCAGTTGATGGGGTGGTGGTGGTCTCGACAGTAATGAACGATAACGCAATGACGGCTAGCTTTGTGTTGTTCTTTAGGGCTTGAGGTTTGATTCTTAATTACCCTTTTGTTAAAAACGAAGACGGCTATACATGTGCATATACATAAATACACATGATCATTTAAACACCACAAAACCCTTTTTGTTGTTTAGGAAGCTATTGAGATTTATTGGGCTTGTATCATTATGTCAAAACAAATTGACCCAATAATGTTGGACGGGGGTGTTACAATATTCTTTTATGCTCTTTGTATGTGTATAAGTAGAACATATGTAACACACTAAATCAAGTAAGAAATAAGACAATTCTCTTTCTCCACAATCTCTCAAAACTCGCAACTCTCTCTCTCTTTCACTCAAACTCAATTCTCTCTTGTTTACTCTCTTTCCGCACTCATTGTAGTCCCATTCTCGCAACCTTAAGCTCCATATTCTAACGGTTTGGGCATTTGTTCTATATTCTATTTTCTATTTAGTTGGAGACTTTACTAATTTTATGTTTATTTTACAAATAGTCATGCTACTTAGGATATCATATCTAAATGAATAATTTTCATGTTATTTTTCCATACCTAAGTAAATAGGATATTCTTTTATGCTCTTTATATGTGTATAAGTAGAACATATGTAACACACTAAATCAAGTAAGAAATAAGACAATTCTCTTTCTCCACAATCTCTCAAAACTCGCAACTCTTTCTCTTACACTCAAACTCAATTCTCTCTTGTTTACTCTCTTTCCGCACTCTTTCTAGTCCCATTCTCGCAACCTTAAGCTCCATATTCTAATAGTTTGGGCATTTGTTCTATATTCCATTTTCTATTTAGTTGGAGACTTTTCTGATTTTAGGTTTATTTTACAAATAGTCATGCTACTTAGGATATCATACCTAAATGAATAATTTTCATGTTATTTTTCTATATCTTTGAGAATAGTTATTGTATGATGGAGGCATCGATAATTTAGTTTACACTCGCTATTGTCTTGACCGTTCGCATATGGTTGTGTTTGAACCATGATGAAAACAAAAAAGAACCAATAAAACTGTACAACTTGAGATAAATGCATGTAGAATAGTAAAAAACAAAAAAAATACAAAAAAAATATAAATTTGTAAATATAAATTTCAGTAAACGAACCCAAAAAAACTAATACTATCATCATACATTTTTAAGTTTTTGTTAAAAGGTTAGATACAACACCACATGATTTTTATTTATTTACATACATATTAAAGTAAATAAACAGAAAAAATAAATTAATTAACTAAATTTTCCAATATATATATATGCGAGCATAGTCCGGATTGTATCCTAATAGAACAATAAAATTACCTCTAAATACTTATTATTTAGAGAGGAAACAATATATTCAAATTTGATAAAAAATTATTAATTAAATTCTTTTATTTATTAATGTGTTAATATATTTTTTTTTATTTGGTTTAAAACACATTTTTTTTTATTTTGCCAATAAAAAAACAGTTTACAACTTTAAATACCTCATAGACCCTAACTTAAAAAATCCTCAAATCGATTCATCGTTCCCAATGCCACTTTGGCACTCTCTCACA